GGTTGGGGGTGGGTGGAGGCTGGCCGGGGGGAGGGGGGTAGGAGTTCAAAAATAAAAATTTGAAGTTGAAAAATATTTTTAAAAAGCAAAATTAATTTTTTGGGTTGGGGGAGGGGGACTGGGGGGGGGGGGTCAGGGATTGGGTGAAAAAACAAAATTTTAAAATTGAACATATTTTTTTAAAAAAATTATGTTTTCCAAAAAAAAAGTAATTTGAAATTGGAGGAGAGTTTTGGAAAATGTTTTCCTTAATTTTTGAAGGGAAGTCATTTTTCTTAATTTCGAGGAAAATGAGTTGATTTGAAAAACATTTTCCAAAACTTTTGTCCCGATCAAACATGAGAAAATTGAAAAACATTTTCCAGAAAATATTTTCCTTCATACTTGATAATTTGAATTTTTCAAATTAGAATAAATCATACTTGATAATCAAGGTTTTATTTCACTGAATTTTTTTAGTAAAATAATGCATATTATTATACTTTTGCAATTATTTTTCTCTTGTATAGATATGTAAAGGAGCTGTTGTAAAATGAATGTCCACATTAATTATGTCAAAGTGTTGTAATATTAATGCATACATAATATGCTAAATGGTGTATACTAATTAGTCATATGATATACTTGGTGTCCGAAGTATATATATGATAAGATAATATTCATGTATCACACTTGGTAATCAAATATATACAACTATATATACCCTTCTTTTTGTAACAAAGAGAAGAGTAAGAGTAAGTGAAGAAAAAATATACATATTATTTCTCATCCATCTTTCTTGTTATCTTAGCTTTAATACTTTAACTTGTAACAATTGGCTTTTCATTTTTATTCAACATCTTAGATCTATTAAGAAATTTATCTTCTATCTAATTTATAATTGAGAAATTTTCGCAAATAGCCATTATAATTAATTTAATTATGTTTCATAATTATAGTTTGTATATTTACGAGTTATAGCTACAGTTTAAGATTTCTCTTTTATATAATTTACCGATTTGTATAATTCGTGAGCGCGTTTGTATAAATTGAGTTATTTTTGTATAAGGTCGAAATAACGAATTTATATAAACAAAAACATATTTACTTAAAATAATTATATAAATGATATTCTACAAAATTACATTATATAAAAGTCATACAAATTATATTATACAAACTATAAATATGATAATTAATTAACTAATATATATTAATTTACTTAACCACATAATTTTCCCTCTATAATTTCTACTACATAGATGGATGAATAACACTAGGCGTACATTAAGATTTAATCACTAAGCAAATTCTGTTGAACTACTTCTTTCTACTAAACAAAATTATATATGTATAATAAAAAATGTGAATTAAGACGAAGACAATGTGAATGTGGGATGACATTTCGCAAGAGTTATTGGATGGGTCATAATTAAGGGGCATGAGTATTAAGTAAAGAAATTTTAATGTAATATGAGTTGTTAAATGAATGTAAAAAATAAGTGCAAATATAGATGCATGTCTACTTAAAAAATCAAACATCAAGTGACAAATTATAGAAATACATAAAAGGAAAAGAGTTTGATATACCCCTCAACTTTGTCATTTTGAGTTGATACACTTTTCATTATGAAAGTGATTCATATACATCCTTACCGATATACAAACAACTCACATATACTCTTACTGTTACAAAATGAACATACATATATTCTTCATTTAACGGAGGTAAAAAAATTAGTTTTAGATTTATATTTTTACTTTTTTTTTAAATAAACATTTATGGGTATATATGGTTCTTATAAAAAAGTTTAAGGTATATTTAATTTTTTTTTGTACATAAATCATTTTTAACTTCTTTGATTATCATTATTTGAGTTTCATATTCTTTTTTTTTTTCATTCCTTAGTGTAAAGAAAAAAAATGAACTATTTTTTTGTGGCTATATTATAATTTTAAACTATTTTTTTATCTATATTGTAATTTAATTTTTGTACTTGAAGAAAAACATTTGATCATCTATGATAAGTTTTACAAGAATATTAGTGAAACATAAATCAATTTGACCATCAAATAATAAAATCTAAATTAGTCATTGAAACAAAAAAAGTTGTTTTAAAAAAAATATTTGAGAAGGATTAAATATACCATATGAGATTATATATTTTTTTAAAAAATATTAAACCAAAATTAATTTTCTTCATTTACGTTAAAGAAAAAAGGTATCTATGAACCATTATAAATACATAAGAATATATATGAGTCACTTTCATAAAAATGGATATAGCTCTAAATGACAAAGGCCATTTATTTAGTTATTTGATACTTCACCTGTCAATGATTTATGTGGTACAACTTCAAATTTCGAGAGCAATTCATTTAATTTAGGGAAAATTGTATATAATAGCAAACTAATAACCTAAAATAAATAGAGTAGCTAGGGTTTGATTTAATTGTGCTCCATAGCAAACGTTTGCAAAAAAAATGCCAGACGCCTCTCTCCCAAATATCTCGCTCGCCACTCTCCTCCATTCTCTCGCTCGCTTCCTCACTTTTTATACAAACACAAGTGTAAAAAAATTGTTTCTAATTGTATAAAGTAGAAAAAATTGTATAAATACATATATTTTTGTTCCCCTCTCTCCCCTCTTCCAGATATCGCTCGCCATTCTCCCAAATCTTGCTCGCCACCCTCGCCTTTCTCACTTATACAAACAGAAGCGAAATGTATAAATTGCATTTATGTTTGTATAAAGCGTGAGAAAATTGTATATACACATGCAAGTGCTTATATTTCGTTCTATACACTTATAATTATACAATAAAAATACTCCCTTGCCCAGTTTCTTTTGCCTTTCTCTCTTTCTCATTTAATACAATTTTCAGATTGTATCTAATTTCTCTCTTTCTCATTTATACAATTCGATTCAATTATATATTCCTTGTCAAGTCTCTTTTGTCTTTCTCTCTTTCTCATTTTATACAATTCGATTCAATTATATATTCCTTGTCAAGTCTATTTTGTCTTTCTCTCTTTCTCATTTTATACAAATTCAAATTGTATATAATCGTTCTATACACTTATAATAATACAATTCGTTTTTATACAGTTCTCTGCCCAAGTGTCTTTATCTTTCTTGTTTTATACACTTCGTTTTATACAATTTGCTTCAACTGTATATGTATAGCGAATTATACAGTTTCTATGTTTGCTATAGCATACAAATATGAATTTTTTAATTGCTATATGTGAAAGTTGCCCTTTAATTTAACCGTGAATTTTGGCATAAAATTTTAGAAAAATAGAATTATATATACAATAATTGAATATAACAAAAGAAAAATTAACTTCTATTTTTGGCGAAAGAAGAAAATTAATGTAATTTGCCATAATAGTAGTGGCAAAAAGTAATGTATGAAAATAAAAATTATTTAATTATTTATAAAATAAAAGCTTGAAGAAATAAAAAACAAATACAATTAATTCTTTTTGTCAAAAAAATAAATTAATACAATTTGCCAAAATAGTAGTATGGCAAAAAGTAATGAGTGAAAATAGATATTATTAAATTATTTATCAAATAAAATCTTGAAAAAGTTAAACATATTTAATATTATTTCAGAAGTAGAATTAATATTAATATAATTTGCCAAAATTGTAATACGGCAAAAAGTAATAGATGAAAATGAACATTATTTAATTATGTATTAAATAAAATCTTGGAAAAAGTAAAAAAAAATATTTAATATTATTTGAGGAATATAATTAATTATATTTTTGGTCAAAAACAAAATTAATATAATTTGCCAAAGTTATAGTATGACAAAAAGTAATGAATGAAAATGAACATTATTTAATTATTCATCAAATAAAATCTTGAAAAAAAGTGGATAAAAAACATTTAATATAATTCAGAAATGGAGTTAATTATTTTTTTTGGTAAAAAAAATTAATATAATTTGCCAACATTGCAGGCCGAAAGTAATAAATGAAAATGAACATTATTTTGTCATGTATCAAACAAAATTTTGAAAAAAGTGAAAAAAGATAATTAATATTATTTCATAATAGAATTAATTATTTTGGTAAAAAAAATTTAATATAATTTGTCAAAATTGTACTATGGAAAAAAATAATGAATGAAAATGAAAACTATTTAATGAAAAAGGTGAAAAAAATATTTAATATTATTTCGAAAATAGAATTAATAATTATTTTTGGGTCAAAAAAACAATTAATATAATTTGTCAAAATTGTACTATTGAGAAAAATAATGAATGAAAGTGAAAACTATTTAATGAAAAAGGTGAAAAAAATATTTAATATTATTTCGAAAATAGAATTAATAATTATTTTTGGGTCAAAAGACACAATTAATATAATTTGCCAAAATTGTTGTATGCAAAAAATAATAAATGAGAATGGACATTATTTTGATTCTGTATCAAATAAAATTTTGAATAAAATGAAAAAAGATATTTAATATTATATGAGAAGAATTAATTATTTTTTTTGGTCAAAGAAAATTTAATATAATTTGCCAAAATTATAGTAAAGTAAAAAATAATGAATGAAAAATGAACATTATTCAATTTAATTTTGAAGAAAGTGAAAAAAACATTTAATATTATATTAAAAATAAAATTCATATTATTTTTGGTTAAAAGAATAATTAATATGATTTGCCATTATAATAATAATATGGCAAAAAGTTATAAATGAAACGAGACATTATTTATTTATTTATTAATTAAAAGTAAAACATATTTAATTTTCATGTCTTTACTCGTCCCTATAAATAAGCTTCACTCTGGAACATTGAAAACTCACAAGTCACAACACCAAAAGAGTAAAAAAAAGAGTTTTTGCCTTGTTTTAGGGATTTTCTGTGAGGTTGTAGCTATGGCGTCCGAGGGTAATAAGGGTCAAAGGCAAAAGGGTACTGTTAAATGGTTTAGCGATCAGAAAGGTTTTGGTTTTGTTACTCCAAATGATGGCGGACCGGAGCTATTCGTTCACCAATCGGGGATTCGGTCCGAGGGGTTCCGCAGCTTGGCAGATGGAGAACCTGTGGAATTTGAGGTTGAATCCGGTAACGATGGCCGTACGAAGGCCGTCGATGTTACCGGTCCTGATGGTGCTCCTGTTAAGGGAGGATCTCGTGACGCTGGTGGCGACCGCTATGGTGGAGGCGGGAGGTATGGCGGTGGTTACGGCGGGAGGTATGGTGGTGGCGGCGGTGGAGGAGGGAACTGTTACAAGTGTGGTGAGGAGGGGCACTTTGCACGAGAGTGCAGCCAAGGTGGCGGCGGCGGCGGAGGACGTTATGGTGGTAGCGGCAGTGGATCATGCTACAAGTGCGGGCAGGAAGGGCACTTTGCTCGTGAATGCACCAACAGCAGCAACCGCTGAAGATTGGTGGTGTGATGTTGCACTCTTTTTATTTATGTTTATTTTATGTTGAATTTTGAATTTTGTTGACAGGAAGCAACCATTTACTATTTTTGAATGATCATCGATCACGATAATTAGTATGTGGTTCATTCCCTTGCTATTTTATGTTTATTAGGATAGTAGTACTTTTTATTTTGAATATTTTGACAATGTAGCTTATATACTACATGTATTTTGAAATATTATGATTAATAATAAAGTACTTAAATGTCTTTTTATGCAAAGTATTTAACTTATGATCTATGAATGGTTTTTGTGGAAATGTTTAGATATATATATATAATTTAATTTTTTTTTTGTAAGTTTCATGGGAAATTTGACCAATTTATAAGTAGATTTGAGTCTAAATTGGGACTAGATTAACAAATCTCATGAATGGTTTAAAGTTTGGTTTCTTGTAATTCAGTGTCATGAGAAGTCCGTGTGGAGAAGTGATGTATTTTTATGGGTAGTTGTGATTTACAGTTCCAAGACTGTGTTGTCTTTACATCCCCTATGCTATTTTTTCTTTTAGTTGGTCATAATTTTTTATAGATTTTTTATTTATAAAAAGTGCTCTCTCTTTTTTCTTTGTAAAGTATCTTTGAAAAATGAAATAATATATGTGTAGTAATAAAAAGGAAATATTGAGACGAAAAAAGAAATTGTTTTCAATTACATTTACTATAAAGAAAAAAGAATATTTATATATTGAATAAGGGTATTTTTTTTAAAGTTGTATTCATTTAATAGGATAGTGATTTGATTTTCTTTTATCTTAAAAATTAATTGAGAAATATGTAAAAAATTATACCTATTATTTTATATTAAATATTTTATTTATTATTTTTAAATGTTGTTTTAGTAGTTTTAAGAAAATTATCTTAATAAATAATGCTTGATCACTTATATAATATGTAAAAAGTTAAAATTAAATTTGAACATAAAAAAAAATTACATATACCCCCACCCCGTAAACTGCTTGGTCCCGCATTAATTTTTAGATAACTCACTTCAATCTGCTCCACATGATTTTAAATTTGCTCCGTCTCCGCCCTGTATAGCCTAAACTCACCCAGCCCCGTGTCTATTCCACTCCATTGTCATCCCTATGACCCTATCTACCGTTGTTATGGGAAAAACTCCAACCTACTGCACAAATTTTACACTAAAGAAGAATCTTTTTTTCTCTTCATTATTATATTCTTATTTCTTATTTCGTTTATATTTTTATTTCATAGAACAATTTTTTTTCTAAAATATTCACCATATATGATTCAAATTATTTCTTTTTAAATCGTTTAATATAAAATTATTTTGTATCATAATTTCTTAAATACTATAAATTGTTTAGCAATTATTAAATTATACATTATAATAATGGATAATACAAATAAAAGTGAAATTATTAATGAAATATAATTAAATAAATATGCATAATTGAAAAAAATATTTTATATTATAAATAAATCTTTCAAGAGTACTACGTTGCTCCCATAAATGTAATATGGAGTTAAAATGAGTTTTTTCTCCTTTATTTTTTTATTTCAAGCTAGAAAGTATTGAAATTAATAATTTTTTATTCGCATCTCTGGCTGTTTTAAGGCTGATAAGCACAGATTTCAGACTCTGATCTAAAATGAAGCCCTTTACTTCATATCCTTTCTGTTTACAAGTTCATCAACACCTTTTCTTCCACATAAATATCAGGTATATATTGCTCGGTATTCTGATATTGTAAGTTGGACTACCGATCATGGGCTTAAGAGCCTAACATTAATTTTCCTAACAGTAAACAAATGGTTTTGCCAAGAAAAGGGAAACAACAAACCTAGACGTGGTTTGTTAAATGTGCACTAAAGTTTGTTTAACATATGGAAAATGGTTCACAAATATTCTCCTTCCACATTTTCGTCTAAAAATACCCTCAACCTTTATTTTTGGTGGAAGGATTGGTATATGAGGACTTCAATATCGATTTGGAATAATCAAACACCTATCTTGATCTCCAAGTTGAATTCACCAGGCATAGTTTTTACCCATATTATTGATATGTTTGTAAAGTATTTATTAAGAACCTGTGAGTAATAAGAACTCAACCATGGACAAAGCCATGAAGTTCTTCAACTGAGAATTGAGAGAAAAACAATACAGAAAGAAGATTGTAATTTTGTAAAATGATTCATTATTCATTCATTACTCATGAGATGCTTATATACATGTGTTTTAGATGAATCAACTAGTCTATTAGAGAAGGAAAATATCTAACTAACTAACTAATTAGTTATCTAACTAACTATGATGTCATTAACTACAAAATGGAATCTAACTAACTGAATGAAATAATTGATACACATGCTTTAATTATGATTGTCAATACTCCTCCTCAAGTTGGAGGTGATGATTTCACAGCCAACTTGTGCAAGATAGCTGAATGTTTGACGCCAGTGAGTGCCTTGTGGTAAGGATATCAACAAGTTTGTCACATGATGCAAAGAAATGAGCCCCTCCTGAAGCTTATTGCGTACGAAATGACAATCTACCACAATGTGTTTAGTTCTCTCATGAAACACAGGATTGCGAGCAATGTGGATAGCAGATTGACTATCACAATGAACACCAATAGGAGAAGAAATAGAAACAGTCAATTCAGTAAGCAACCTGTGAAGCCAAGTCAATTCTCCCACAACCTTTCTGAGTGATCTATACTCTGCTTCAGCTGATGATAGGGAAACAGTCTCTTGTTTCTTAGACTTCCAGTTGATGGGGCTATTTCCAACTAATACTAAATAGCCACTGACTGATCTCCTTGAGTCTGGACATGATGCCCAATCTGAATCACAAAATGCTTGAACTGTTCAGTCAGGGTCCTTAGACAAATGAACTCCTAAAGTAGTATCCTTTTTTAGGTATCTAAGTAGATGATAAGTTGCTTGTAGATGTGGAGCTCATGGATCCTACATGAATTGGATTAAGTGTTGTACACTGAAAGCTATATGTAATCTAATATTAGTTAAGAAATTTAACTTGCCTATCAACTTTCTATAGAAAGTGGGATCAGACAAAGGAGTTCCTTCCTTGGCTCTTAATTTAACAGTAGGATCTAAAGGGGAAGACAAAGGTGTATAATTGTAGCTTCATATTCTTTGAGCAAGTCTAAAATAAAATTTCTTTGAGAAATGAGTACTGTTGTATCAAGAATCTCCAAGCTCAGAAATAATGAAGTCTTCCAAGATCTTTGATTTTGAAAGTGTTGTCCAGGTACACTTTCAGTTGTGTAATCTCAGTTGTGTTTGTGCCTATCAGAACAACATTATCTGCATATACTGCAACAAACACTACCAAGGATCCATCCTTTCTGTAAAATAATGAGTGATCATAATGTGAATGTGAGTAGCCTCTGGATGACGATGCCTCAGTTAGTTTAGCATACCACTGCCTACTTGCCTGTTTAAGACCATAAAGTGACTTGTTTAGCTTACAGACCAGTCCTGTATTAGGCACCTCAAGGCCTGAAGGTATTTTCATATAGACTTCTTCATGAAGATCTCCATGAAGGAACACATTGTTAACATGAAGTTGAAACATGCCCCAACCTTTCTTTACAACACATGCTATTAAAGTTCTTACTGTAGTCATTTTAACCACAGGTGATTAGGTCTCAATATAGTCAATTCCAGCCTGTTGTGTATATCCTTTCACTACCAGTTGTGCCTTGAACCTTTCTATGCTTCCATCTGCTTTATGTTTAACTTTGTACACCCACCTACATCCAACTTCTTGTTTGTTTGGTGGTAAAACAACAAGATCCCAAGTATTATTAGCATACAATACTTCAAATTCTTGTGTCATGGACTTTTTCCATGCATGATTTAGTGATGCTTCCTCATATGATGATAGTTCACTATCATGACAACTATTCTCAACAAGTGACTGACTATTAGATGCAACGACTTCAGGAGATATATGGTGGTGTTTGGTAAATAGTGCAGTAAGAGACAAGTTAATGTTGAGTTGTGTGTTGGTGTTAGTTGATTTCAAGTTAGGAATGTTAACAATATAATCTTTCAAATATGATGGAATTTTATTTTCCCTATGAGACCTTCTCTGTACTATTGTAGAAGTATCATGTTGAGATGGTGTTGGAGATATAATGGCAATGGTAGAAGGTGTATTATGATTTTCAATAGTGCGATCAGGTAGATGAGAAGAAGTTGTATTAGTCACATTGTTACAATCATTTACATAATTTTTATATGAGTCCAATTCAGTATAATCAGGAGATGAAATAGACTTCAAAACAAAGAAAAAAATTACTTTCAGGTGATAAAGTAAAAGGAAAAACATGTTCATGAAAATCACATCCCTGGAGATATGTATCTTATTTGTAGCCAGATTCATTACCTTATAACCTTTTGTTCCAAAAAGATATCCCAAGAAAATATGTGGAGTGGTTCTTGGATCAAGCTTGTCTCTAAGTACTTTTGGGACAGTTGGATAACAAAGGCACCCAAAGGATCTAAGTTATCTATAGTTTGGTTTCTTTTTGTATAATATTTCATATGGACACTTATTTTTCAAATGACTTGAAAGAAGTCTATTAATAAGATGTGTAGCTGTCAGAACACATTCTCCCCAATACCTTATAGGTAGTTTAGATTGAAACAAAAGAGCTCTGGCTGTTTCCAACAAATATTTATGTTTTCTATCCACCACATTATTTTGTTGTGGTGTCTATGGACAAGTTTTCTGATGAATAATCCATTTGGATAAAAGAAATTGGCGTGTTTCATTACTAGTAAATTCTAACCCATTGTCTGTTCTAATGACTTTGACTGTGGTATTAAATTGGTTTTCCACCATAGTTATGAAATTTTTCAAAACCTGTAGATCATTGCTCTTGGTACTTAATAGATGTGTCCAAGTTGATCTGTTGCAATCATCTACTAATGTAATGAAATACTTGTAATTGTCATAGGTGGATACATGATATGGTCCCCATAAGTCAATGTGTAGTATTTCAAAAATGGATGTGGTTTGGCTTATGCTATGACTAAAAGGTAATCTCTGTTGCCTTTCCATTGGACAAATGTTGCAGGAAAAAGATTGTTTGGGAGAAAAAATGATTGGTATGTCAGTGATACTTTTCATTTTAACAAAAGGTACATGGCCAAGTCTATTGTGCCACAGTAAGTCTACATTATCTCCAGTAGTACTACAAGAGTTATGATCAGACAAAACATCA